GTTCTTTAAGTGGCTGCTTCAACAAAGCAGTCAGGCTCAGGTTGCTGTGGTTCGATCCCTACAACTCAAGCCAGCCAAACCTGCCCTGAAGGCATTCGGAGGAAAAAAAAAATCCTTATTCCAGTTTTTGGGCTGGGGAGATGGCTCAGTGGAATAAGCACTTCGCTGGCAAGCACAAGGGCCTGAGTTCAATCCCCGGTTCCGCCAAAAGAAAAAAAAATGACACTGGTATATTAATTAATTCATACTCTAAATATTTCCCTTCACTTCTAACACACTTAACCTCTCATTCTTGGCTTTGTCAAGCAGCTCTCAAAGTCCCCTGTCATATCCTTAGTTGCCTTGATATGGTTTCCTATATGTTTTGAATTGATTAAAAATGTTTACCACATTAATATGCTGAGCTGTAAAAGGCTCAAGTGAACAGCTCCTGACATTGCCAGTCCTACAGAAAACCCACTACTATTATGGACTACTGGAGTATATTGGAATATTTTGCTGAATTCATGCACCTACAATATTTAAATGACAATGGAATATCCTTCTCTGACAAAACTAAACAAAAAAAGGGATACAAATGAAGGACCACTCTGTATCTGTATATTGAAGATAGGATAGATAAACAGCTACTTTTTCTTAATTCAATGAATAGATTTGTTCTAATAGTGTTTGTGGACAGGATATCATGTCTGCATCTTGTACAGTGAATAACTACTAAGACAACAATATGCAATATATTAATTATTGAAACTGTCCTACTAATCGGTTTTGAAACTGTCTCATTGCTATTTGTTTTTTTTTTCTCATTGCTATTTTGTTTCTCAATGAAATTATTTAAAAAAATGTTTACCTTTCATGGTCATTCTGAGTTGGCAAGAGAGCCAGAATTCACATAGTGCCAGATCTGGTAATATAAATGAGGGAACAGTGTCATGTTTTGTGAAGCTTTGCTTTTCTACTAGACAGAATACAACATCAATATTTGCTGCGTTTTTGATCAGAGCTTGCAAAATACTCAAAAGGAACTGCTTCAGAAAGTAGCAAGAATGGTAGGCGAAGTGTGTTCGGAGTGGGGGCGTATTCTGAGGGAAGTTAATAGCAATGAATGTTTTACTGTAGTAGAAATTTTATTAATTAATTTATTGGCAGAACTGGGGATTGAACTCAGGCCCTTGCGCTTGCCAGGGAAGCGCTTATTCCACTGAGCCATCTCCCTGGCCCCTGTAGCAGAAATTTTAAACTTAGGGGCCTGGGAGATGGCTCACTAGAATAAGTGCTTCCCTGACAAGCGCAAAGGTCTGAGTTCAATCCCCAGTTCCGAAGAAAAAAAAAATTTAAACTTAATTATTCACCATATATGTTGATCACACCTTGCATCGCCTTCAAAACTCTTAGAACCAATAACTGAGTTCTCAGTGACAGAGGAGACAAGGTCAACACTGTAAAACAATCATATGCATAATACAAACCTGTTTATTTTTATGTATTTATTTTTTTCATTTTAATGTGAATGATAAAATACCAATGAAACAGTTTCAAAACAGGTTAGTATGAGTTACAATAGTTAATACACTGCATATTCTTGTCTTCCTAGTAGTTATTCAGAGGATAAAGAGACATGATGTCTTGTGTAAACACTTCGTACCAACCTTTCTTCTCAAAGCCTCAGTTTAAAAATAATATTATTTATATTAGCTCTAAACTCAGTTATGTATATAACTAAAAATATATATAGGATCTGTGTGATGAACACTATAAAATATACAAGGAAAAAAATCATAGGAAGCACAATTAAATAAAGAGAAATGCTGTGTTCATGGATCAAAAGACTCAATATGGGGTGAAATCCAATTATTGCCAAGTTGATCTGATTAATTAATGAAATGTCAACCAAAATCTTGGAAGGATATATATATATATATATATATATATATATATATATATATATATTACATATTCTACAATTCATGTGGAATATTCAAACTTCTGAAATAAGAATTTATTACAAAAATCACAGAATTTGATCTTAAGACTCCAAATAAGGTTGTGGTAATTAAGAGCACTGCTGTCTTAGAAAGGAGTAGACATGTAGATTGATGGGTAGAAAATAAGAGTCTATAACTCGATACATAAAATATGATCAAATGACTTTGTTTTTTGTGACAGGGTCTGTGTAGTTGAGGCTGGACTTGAATTCATTATGTAGTCCAGGCTGGCCTTGACCTCACTATGTAGCCCAGGATGACGTTAAATTTGCAGTGATCTGCCTGCCTTAGCATTCCAAATTTTTGGATTACACATGTGTGCCACCAAGGCTCGCTTCAAATGAGTTTTTACAGGGTATAGATGCCAATTCAAGAGAAGGAAGAATTTTCCAACAAATATTGTATATCTACATGCAAAAACATGAACCTCAGCATCATGATTTACATATAAAATTGAGTATCAATGGTACAACGATAAAATTTTCAGAAGATACTACAGGGGAGTATCTTTGTGACTAGACATGAACAAGTCTTCCCTAATGTATAAATAAAGCACAATGCATGAAAAAAAGAATATTGGTAAGGTAGACTTCATCAAGATTTAAAACTTGGGGACTAGGGATGCAGCTTCATTGTAGAGCATTTGCTTAGCATGCCCAAAGTTTGGTGTTTGATCTCCAGTACTGAAAAGTCAGAGAGAGGGAGAGTGGGATGGATAGAGAGATTTAAAACACTGATTGAGAAAAACTATGAATGGAGAGACTAAACATAAGAATCACAGACCTCACAAAGGCTTTACATACGGAACATAGAAAGTACTACAAAACTTAAAACAAACAATGAATAATGAAAAATGGGAGAAAAATGTGAACATGAACACTTAAAATTGGGTCAAAATTAACCATAAAGGACATAAAAATTAAAATTGTGATGATGAATCCTGTCATATATACTAGAACAGGTAAAACATGCTGACAATATCAAGTAATGGAGAACATGCCAAGGAACTTGATCTGTCTTAACTTTTGGTTAGAAAGAAAAATAGCAGAGCCATTTGGAAACCAGATTGAAGGTTTCTTGTATGTTAAGCAGATGTTTACCTTAGGGTAACACACACACAAAAGCCAGTCCTTGAATGTTTGGAATAGTTCCATTCATAGTTATCCAGAACTGAAAACAGAAATATCTTTCAATAAATGAATGGATAAGAGGGCCGGGGAGATGGCTCAGTGGAATAAGCGCTTCCCTGGCAAGTGTAAGGGCCTGAGTTCAATCCCCCGGTTTCGCAAAAACAAACAAACAAACAAACAAACAAACAAAAAAACCCCAAAAAAAAACCAAAGAGAAAAAAGAATGGATAAGAAACTTTGCTAACCATTCAATGGAAAATGCTAAACAATGAAAACACAATAGAGCATTTTTTTGTATTTTAGGGAAGGGTCTACAGGGTGTTCAGGATCTCACTACTAGATTGGACTCGTAGTGATCCACCTCTTTACAGCCTCCCAAGAGCTGGGATTACAGGTGTGCACCACCACACCCAACCTCAGTGCGCCCTGGGTGTGAGGCCGGCACAGCAGGCCCGGGAGATCGAATCTCCGGCCCTTGCACCTGCTTCCAGGTGTTTTAATCCACTGAGGTATATTTTTTCCTCTTTTTTATTTTTATTTTTTAAAGAATACAAAACAGTGATAGAAAAAAAAATTAGAAATGATACAACAAGGGCAAAGCCATATATCCATATGTACAAGATGGGCAAGGCAATGATCCTGAGAATCTTCAGCAGGGTTTTGAAACTAGCAGTCAATTGGTAGGATTTTTACCCTGACTAACTATATATGTTGATACCTGTGAACTAAGCAACTGCACTGAAGATAGCAATATGCAATAGAAAGATCACACTTGGAATGCCTGTCACTCTGGTCCTCTAAATTCGTACTGCTTGTCATGACATACTGATTATTGCCACACTGTCTCTCAAGCAAACATGTGCTCAAAAAAAAAGGGTAATAAATGAAAAAAAGAGACAAGAAAAAAAATGTTACAGGATTATCCTGCTATAATGCGGCATATGGTTAGATTTCCAAATCACTGTGTAAAAATATGTAATTGTCCATTCCTTTTTTTCTTTTGCGGAACCGGGAATTGAACTCAGGCCCTTGCACTTGCCAGGGAAGCGCTTATTCCACTGAGCCATCTCCCCGGCCCTGTCCATTCCTATTTTTAAAATATTTTTCCATCCCTTCAATTTCTTTCTTCATATTCTGTAGGGACTTAAAATTTAACATATCAACACCTGATGGACAATACCCACTTCATGCTATGTCCAAGATGCTCGACATTCAGATAGACAGGTTAAGCTCAACTGCCTATGCCGTAGGGCAACAATGAAAAGCTTCTTTTCTGGAGGGTCAACAACCCAAGTTTGCAGACCAAAAGCTAGAGAAAAAGGGCTGCAAGGACAGCCAACATCTTGGCCCTAGCCTTGCAAGGCTAGCGAAGACTCAGGATATTGGAAAACCTACATTGCAACATCCTGCAACTCAATGGTGTCCCAAATTTTCTGACCAAGGAGATCATGAGGCCACAGAGGAAAGTGATCAATGATGCAGAGTGTGCCCAAGGAGAGCCCAATGGAGAGAAAACACACCCCCAGGCCTTCACAGACAGCAAACTGGTCAAGCAATGGTCGTGACTCATCCACATGGCCGACATCGACAAAGGATCTATAAACTGTGGCACAGGGATTCTGGCTAAATCCTGAAGGGATCTGACTGACCACATCAGATACAAAAGCTATAATCCTTGTTTTATAGGTCTTGCTTTATCTTGGTCTTAACCATCCAGCAGAAAAGTATAAAAACGAGGTACAAAAAGTAAAGCCATATTAATATGCTGAGCTGCAAAAGGCTCAAGTCAACAACCTCTGACATGGCCAGTCCTACAGACAACCCACCACTACTGTGGACTGCCGGACTATATTGGAATATCTCGCTGAATTCACACATCTACAATATTTAAATGACAATGGAATACCCTTCTCTGACAAAACTAAACAAACAAAAAAAAGGGGATACAAATGAATGATCATTTTGTATGAACAAAATAGTTAGGATAGATATACCAGCTACTTTCTCTTAATTCAAAGAATAGAATGATTTCTTCCAGTAGTGTTTGTGGACAGAATATCATGTCTACATCTTGTACAATGAATAACCACCAAGACAACAATATGCAATGTACTAATTACTGAAACCGTCCTACCAATCGGTTTTTTAAATTTTTTTAAACATTTATTTATTTATTAGTGTGTTTGTGTGTGTGTGTGGCCAGCTCAGCCCACCAGGGGGCGGGGCTGGCTGGCATGTGGTGCTGGGGGATCGAACCGCGGTCCCTGTGCTTT